GGGGGTGTGGTTGATGAGATTAGTTCCCTTGAAACGGACGGACAAAAAATTTGAAACATGTTCTCTGGGAATCGTGTCGTCCATGACGTGGAAAATCATGTCGGTTTCAACGTGGAATGGCAAACCGATTTTGTTATATTTTACTTAATTTTACTCCATTCTTTGTTTTGCTTTACCTACAAACTACAAATCATTATCCATTATGTCGTGTCGTCCGTCCTTAACGAGGTCTTACCCTAAAGCGGTACTGTTTACCAACCTGGGCGATATCGCTCAGTACTGGGCGAATTGGGGAATATTGGTGGGCGATGGGGATCACCGTGGTAGTGATAGGCACAGAGGAGGGGAAAGGGGCAGAGAGTGGAGACGAAAGCAGACGACAGAACATTGCTAGAGAGCAGAAAAGGGGGTGAAAGAAGACAATTTTAGAGAAGAAAAAATGTTCGGTCGCTATCCGGATTCGAACCTGGGACCTTTGAATGAGAGGTGAACACCTTAAACTCTAGGCCACGAGAGCCCTCGGCTACACCGAATTTAGGTTATCTTTTCGGACACATGTATAAAGTAGCAAAGACTGAAACAGAGCAAAATGATGGAAGATCTCTATTAATTTTACATTTTTGAAATAATATTATTATTTTATTAAAATTCACTACCATCTTTATTCTTTTACTCACATCAAGGAACATTCACATATTATATTTTCAAAAGTGTAAAAATATGAAAATTAAAATCAAAATTAATATATGAAAATGAAGAGCTCACAAGAATGATACAATGCCTGGTATCAAACTCAAAGTTCACAAAGAACATTTAATCTATTTGCAGGTGTCGCATATCCAATGTCCTATTTTAGCTCCAGGTTTCAGTCCACTACATCTGAAATGATACCACGTCATGCAAGATTTGCATTCGATCATGATTGTTCCGTCGTCTGTTCCTCGATACTTGCAGTGAATGTTAACTTCGTTCTAATTGTGAACTTTGAATTTGATACCTTTTGAGCTCTTCAGTTTCATATGTTAATTTTAACTTTAATTTTAGTTTCATATTTTTACACTTTTGAAAATACATGTATATGTGAATGTTCCTTGATGTGAGTAAAAGAATAAAGAGGGAAGTGAATAAAAAAATAAGAAAAATCATTACATATACATGTAATAGAAATATGTGGGCAGTACGCTGAGCAAACACAAACCAAGAATAGCAATACTCTCGTCAGGAGAGGTTTCAAGGGACGTGACCGTGAAAATATTGATAGCCCAAAATAACATGTCACTCGCTTCAGTCCCTTGACTGGATTCTCTTGTTGATGGGGTTCATTTTTTTGTTGCTGCTGCTCCCAGAGGGTCTATATAATCAAATAATCACTGCTTCCCTTCCTAATTTTGAAACATTGTCGCTGTCAAATTCACCCATAGACGTAAACCTCATAAATTAAATGTAAAAAGACGTTCATAATCACCAATGAACAGTACACTATGCCTAACCTTCAAAACCGTTTCATTGCCACAGAAATAGCCTGTTCGCCCCTACCGGGCCACTCCATAAGCAGACACAAGTGAGACTGGAAGAGTCTACCAATAGAGTTGAAGGGAATATGTGCATAGCAGTCAAAACTGTTTCATTGCCGCATATACCCTGTTCACCCCTTTCGGGCCACAGTTATAAGCAGCCACACGCGCTGATTATGTAAACTATTACACTGGTCGAGTCTACCTCACAAATGTGAGGGGAACTAACTCCTAATAATATCTTGACTGGTGCGAGTGCTTGTTTTTTTTTTCCCTCGACTTTTTACCGTCCTATAATCAGATCGTGACCTCAATTATGACACCGGCTCCTTGCCGCGAAAAGCTAGACAAAAACAGGCAAATGTGAAATAAAAAAATTAATAACTGGCATGCTCTACCAAAGTGTTTCGACTGTTTGGTATAACATGCCATTGTAGAACTGACATCTCTGCTTCTTTCCTTGGTGTTCGTTACAGGTTAGAATAAATATTTAATGAAATACTTTCCAGATTATTTTAGCTGTTGAATATGCATACAAGATGAATTCAGGATTTGTTTTCATTCACAACTCAGAGTTGCCGCCTCCAGTGCCAGTAAGATTCTTGTGACTTATGTGAGTGTGACATCTCCAGGCCCTATCTGGTCCGATCTCACTTTGATTGCCCTGTCAAATAAGTCAGCCTTCGCACCTGGCTGCTCCTGTTGCTGCTGCTGCTGTTGTGTTCGCTGTTGTTTTTCTTCGTTCCGTTTTTTTCTGTTTCGTTTTGTTCAGTTTTGATTTGTTTGTGTTTTGTTTTTTTTTGTTCATTTTTATTCTTTGTTGATTTGTTTTAATTTAATTTTATTTTATTTTATCTTATGGCATTTATTTTAATTTTAAAGGGGGGAGAGGGGGGTTGTCTTGTGACGGATAATACCACCAAAAGACAGGTTGGGATGTTCAATGAAATACCTCTCCTTGTCGAAACCGAGATAACGTCTTTCGCATGCAACTATTATTTCTTGTCACAGACACGGGTGGTATGCCTACCCTTCAAAAACATGACTAACGTAATTATTTTATAGTCGTGTGTATTAAGGGTTTTTTCTTATATTTTGACGCAAGACAGACTTAAGAGGCCTGCATATCCCTTTCATAACAAGATGCACTATATACTTGCGCGGAATTTCTTGATAAGTTGCTTGATGCGAAAGTTTAAAAAGTAACTAGGGGAGGTAGGTATTCGAAAGATAAAGGAATTAGGGTTTTTTCGTTGATTTGTGTCCCTTTGATGTTAGATTAAAGTTGTTTGTGAGTTGAAAGAAAAAATATTTTGAACTATCAGAACGGATAAAAAGGATTTTCCCACCCAGAACCTCCAAGATTTTTTACCCTTATCCGAGAAGGCAAGGTGTTACATCTTAACTACCCTAAGATTAGAGGTGTGGCTGAAAGACATCAGTGAGAAAGAACAAGGAGACTAGTAGAAAGAGTCAAGAGTAAAGGGGAGAGGAGCACA